TCGATTCATTTTATTCGAACTATTCCATTCTATTTGGCTGGGAACTTGCGGAATAAATAGTCAGAAAACTTCGTTTGATATTCGCAGTGGCTGAATTCGTAAATAAAAGTTTTTCTATTTTCATTTCTATATTTTCCGTCGGCACACAGTTTCCACTATCTGTCGAGCACATAAAATTCCGTGTGTCATATTTTATTTTAATTTCCGTTTTGTTCTGGCCATTCTTCGCCATGGCCAATACCTTCTCATATCATGTATATATGTATATGTATTTTGGTATATTCTTTATTGTATCTATGCCATGGCCAGGACAAAGCACTTTCGCTGCCTTGTGCTGACCTCTGCCACGCCGCGGCCGCCAGCCGCCCCCTTTTCGGCAGCTGCCCAATCGAGTTGTGGCAGCATTTTTGCCCATTTGAGGCGTAAATAAAAACGTTAAATGTTTTTTTAACGTGCGCCACTTAACACTCGGCACAATTTAAAGGCAATTGAGCACAACAACAATGGCCACAAAAAAATAAAGGGCCAATACTGAAACATCTATATCAATGCATATACATACATATATCATATATATGTAGACGTGTGACTTTTCTCCTTCCTTTTAATACGCTGAACACATAAAAATGGCCATAAAGGGTATCATAAAGTTGGCCAAATACACATACATACATATGTGTGCAGTCAGTCTTCAGGGTATACCTAAATAGACTTTTATCTAAATACATATTTCTTTTGATCTGTATCAACTGTCAAGTCGCTTCAGACTTGTGTCAAAAGGTTTTCAGGAGTGTTATATGGATTGTATACCCTATAAATATGGGTTTGCTTATATTCAAAGCATTAGAATTGAAGTACTTTCGATTCAGTACAATTAATTATGTATTTTAGATCTTGCAATAAAATTTTGTTAGCTGAAGGAAAATGTAGCTAATATCTAAAAATACAGTTTAGAACAAAGATTATTTTTAAAATATACATCTACTTTTATTAATCTATTTATTGTAGTTTTTCTCATTATTGACTTAACATAAATAAGGTCTATTTTATTTTCAAAATAATTTTCTCTTGTAAATTTTCTCAACTTTACGTATTTATAGGGCAACGTCCAGTCGACCATACCATTTCCACAAGCTTCGTATTTTTGTTGTTTGTTTTATTATTATTATTTGACCATTTTGGCTGGCTGTCTCGTAATTTAATATAGATTTTTAGCCCATGTTCCAGCTCGCTTTTTATGCCTTCGACAATAAATTGTCAATTGATTTTTGCGCTCATTTATTGTGCTTATGTTGCTGGCAATATATTTACTTACAAATACAAACACACATACATATATAAGTATAAATATGTTTTATTTTTATTTTCTTTTTATATTCGTTTTTGTATTTTGTCAATGCCATTTTGGGTCTTGAAAAATGGGAAATAATGTGGAAAATATGTTTAGACTCGGGTTGTCGCGAATCTTATTAGGTGTTGTTCTCTGTTCTCCTTCAAGTGGGGGTTGTTGGGCGCTTGTCAAACAAATCATAAAAATAGCATTCCTTTTATACATACAGACAAACGCCTACGGAGGGTATGTTAATGGGCGCCTCATCAAATGGCGTTGCATTCATTTCAATTATGTTGAAGGCTGTGCAGATTAAAATACAAATATACACATGGCAAAAACAAATACATATAAACATTTATTCATTTTTTACTTTCACATAAATATCAGCCAAAGTGGGTGGGGTTGGCTGGCTGTAGGGGGACCCACATGTTATGCCTTCAGCAATAATATTGTAATAAAAAATTTGTTTGTATTGAAAGCAGAAGTGTAAAATATGCCAGCATTGTGGCTGACGCCTACTCCCACTACAAGCGCCGCATAAAGTCGAGTTGAATGTTTATTTTGTGATTGATAAAAAAA